CTGCCACTAATTAAAGGTGAACAGGGTGGAGATATTCAGTCAAGCCAATTACTGAGATGGGCGATTGTTAGTCACCTTTTTGGCTGCCATTTAGCATGCACTTAGTGAGTGCCAGGCTCTGTGCCTTGCACACTTGTGGCCTTCTTATCCAGTCCTCTCAACAACCTACCTCACTAAGAGTTCAGGGCAGGAAACAGAAACCACCTAAGGTATCTTAAGCAGAAAGTGCTTTAATATAGGGCATCGGGGGGCTTCCAATCTCTGTAAAGCTGGACAGTGAACTCGAAGCTGGGTCTGCAGGAAGACCCCCAGCATGCGGCAGGAAGGTCCTACCTCTGCAGGAAGCTGCTGTGATGACAGCATTCAAGAACACTGCTGAGTAGCTAGCATCCAGAATTGGGTTCAGGAGGCCACCTCTGCTGTGCCCAATACATGAGCTCACTGGAGGCCATGCCAAGCCCCTGCTGCCCTCGCTGCAGCCCCCCAATACCCACACATGGGCTTCACAGCAGCAACGGCCAGAAGCAAGAAGAGAGGCATCTGCTTCACTCCTGCATTCCCTCCTTCATCAAGTGCATTTATTGATGGAGAATTTAATCTGCATGTTGCCCTAACTGTAAAGAAGGCTAGTGAATGTGACTTTTGCCTCTCCAGGTTCTGCAGAACACGAATTTCCACCAACAGAGGCAGAATAGAAGATGAAGGTTGACTGGTGTAAATCACAGTCTCCTCATAATCTGACCCTGCAGCTGCTTGACATCTGTCCCCACCATCGCACCACATTACATCCACGAATGTCAGCTGCAGCAACATGCCCTGCTGTAGTCAAAACATCATCACCTTCTCCCCAAAGCTGCATCGCCACCACAGCATCCGACTCCCAGGACAGGCACAATCTTACCTCGACAGCCTCTGTCTTCAGGTCTGACTATGACCATGACCATCAAAATACCTCCTATAAAGCAGTATAGGAAATCAAGTTGAAAACTCGTTAATATACAATATACACCTAGCAGAGCTGTCAAAACATTAGGCTATCTACCACAAAGCCATTGTTGGTGTTTAAAATTTCCTTCCACTAAGCATCCCATCCACGTTCCTTCCACCATCAGCTCAGCCTACTGTGCTTCTGTACCTGGCAGGGTGACTGAACCATATCTCCAAGGGGTCTGAGCCCCCGGAGGTCCTCTTTGTATGAGGCTGCTGTGGTCTTGTGCTCTACCACTGGACATGGCAGCCATGGAAAGCACCCAGTGGGCTCCCTGGGTAACAGATGACTTCCTCCCTGTCCCATGTGAAACAGCAGCCCTGTTTTCCCTTGACGATCGGAAGCGATCACCCCATCCTACACAGAAAACTCCTCATTGCCTATTGGTTCATTGTTATGANGGAAGCGATCACCCCATCCTACACAGAAAACTCCTCATTGCCTATTGGTTCATTGTTATGAGAAGCCCCAAATGGCCACTAACCCTCAGCTTCCACCTCCACAGAGTCACTGCCACATTTCCTGGAGGGACATTCTCCCTTGGGTCCTGAGACCTCTAAACACCTGCCCTAACCCATGAAGATCATTTCTTTCCAACGAGCTGATTTCATACAAAGGATGCGAGGCAAAGATCTCATGCCTGTGGAACTCACTGTGTGGCCCACAGAGCCCAGAGTTGCTGGGACGGGAAGCGGAGTGTTTGCAGGCAGGTCCAAGGTGCACCAGTGAGAGAAGGCTTCTCATTGTCACCCTTCATGCCCAGGAATCCAGGGAGAGTCATGTCTATGCAGAAGCAACACAACATATCAGTGGCCAATTCGGAGCATGCACCCCATACCACATCCCAAAGACAACATCTCAACATCATAAAATGACATCCTCCAGCTGGTGCCCAACTGACTCTTCACAGAATGTTCACTGTTCCGTAGTCACGGCTGCTTTGCAGCACTGGGTGTGTGGCTACACAGTGAGTTCCATGGGTGTGGGTGCACGACTCACGTCCTTCGCATAAAATCAGTTCTTTGGGTAGAAGTACTCCCCCTGCATGGTGACACTGGAGGAAGGATGATGGGCCAGGGACCGAATCTGTACCCAAAATAAGTGTCTGGTCCAGTGAACACAAATGGCTGACTGTTTCCATGTAGCAGGGCTCAATGTCATTAGCTCCCACCAGGTGCTGGCTGGCCCCTCCAGGTGTGATGCAAACCACTGTTTAGTGCTGGCCTCTGCTCTCGGCAGGCCGGGCCTC